AGAACAAAACACTCTTTTGTTCCACCAAGATGGTATCTCTCCCATAAAGCAAATTATTGAATAAATGCTTATGGGTAGGGCGTACCGACGTTAACAAAATAATTGCTTTATCCTCATCACTTAACTTGACATCAATGTTAGACAAATCACAAATAATTTTGTTGAACGCACCAAGATGTTCTTGAAGGCTTACCCCTTCTTTTCTCTTGAAGGAATACAACCCTTGCTTTAAAACTAACCTTTTGGTGAGATTGTTTCCCATATACAGATTCTCCAACTTCTTCCACATGTTCGCTACTGAATCTTCTTTTATTACATCATACACAATATCATCTGCTAATTTTTTTTTTTTTTATAAGTAAAATTGTAATAAATAGCGTTCAAAAGGGGAACGCATCCCAAGAGCTGTACAAGAACCAAGAGCAAAAAAGAAAGCCTAAGGATCCAAAGACCCCAAAAAGTCCATCATCTACCAATGTTAATCGAATTGCACTCATTGCCTTCAAGTTGATCTTCGCCTAATCTGCATCTTTTGTCTTTCCTGGTTGCTTACCCAAAGCATCTTCTAAACCACGTTGAACCAGTAAATCCCGCATCCGAACTTGCCAAAAACTGAAGTTTTTTCCTCCATTAAACTTCTCTACCACGTACTTTCCATCTGTAATAGTTGCTGCCATGACTTTGATACCAGTTGTTAGGGTTTCACACACACAATTGACAAATGTAACAGATAAAAAATCATACACAAGCAAAAAAACGAGATTTACTTGGTTTGGCAAATTGCCTAGTCCACGGGCGAAGAACAACTAACTTTACTTCAAAAACTTGATTACACAGTCTTTTCTTTCTCACAATCTCAACTCTCTTTTTCTCTAAACTATTTTCTCTCTATCTCCAAAATTCTCGTACCCATATCTAAAATAGATGTACAACTTCTTCCCCAAATCTTCCGCTTTTTTCCTAAGTCTTCTGGCTTCCAAAACTAATTAGGAAACTGTTTCTCGCAGCTTCCAATAACTCACTGTCCAAGTTGAACTGGTTCAGCCCCATTTGAACCGGTTCAACTTTGGCAGTAGCCAAAGCCAAAAAACTACACGCGCATGTTGAACCGGTTCAACCCCATTTGAACCGGTTCAACTTTGGCAGTAGCCAAAGATAAGCCAAAGTCGGCAACTTTGAATGCCCCAATTCTTCACGTAATCAACATGTGATCAAAATATGTCTTCACGTACGTGCTCCACCTTGAACAAGGATCTCTTCATAGGTCCACCTTAACTAAAGATTTCTCCACGTCAAATAAAGCACTATGATGAAATTGAGAAACATTCTAACAGGATGATAGAATCCCTTTTCTTTGCGTCTTTGCCAGTTTCATCTCCGTCCATATGCTTTGTATCATCTGCGACATTACTCTCTTGCATCCCTGAACCAGGACCACCTGAATCTTCCAATCCGTCTCTTTGTTCAATCATAGTTTGCACATTAGCATCATCTTCTCCGGTCTCAAGGGAAGCCACCTTATCACCACTGACTTGAACGTCAAAAGCATCATCCTTATTTATGGTGTAAATCCCATCTTCCTCTGTAGCCTCAATACCATCTGTAACATCATCTTCATTGTGTTGCAACACATCAAATGGGTTTGAGGTCTCAATGTCTTTTCAACCATTGGCACCACTTCCATCTCCTCACTGGTCTCGTTCAACTCAATTAATTTCCCACCCTTCTTGATCACTCACTTTTCAGTGGTTTTCTTCACTTTATTGGTTTGATGAACTTTTTGTGGACATTTTCCCACAAGATGATTCACTCTTTTACAGAATGTGTACCTGTGGTTTCCAATCATATTTCACCCCCACTTGACATTCCTCTCCATGATTGAAAATTGAAATTTCATCTGGGAATTCCCTATGGAGATCGAGCTCAACCATAACCCTAACAAACATAATTCCTCCTATAGAAGTTGAAGATTCATCCATATATAACGGCTTAGAGAACATAGAACAGACCTTAGATATTGCTCTAGTACTGCGTACATGAATCGGCAATCCATATAGCTTCACCCATGTTGGAACTGATCCAAGCAGAGACCCCTCTCTAGATTCACATTTTTGTCCCACTTTTTGTTGACGATCAGTCTCCCCTTAAAGGTATGAACTTTGCTTGGAAGAAGCCATTCTTCAGTTGAATCACCTTGACAGAATCACCCCATTGTTTATATATGTATGATTTAAGGAAAGAAAAGTAGGGCTTCTTGCCCATCACAGCAGGACAATCTCCAGTAATCAATCTCCTCTTGTACATCTTCTTCTTCAATATGCCCTGTCTTTGAACTGTGACAATCTTGAATAAAAGAGAGGTTCACTATCGGATTCTCCAATTCAGAAGTGAACAAGTTTCTCCATGAAGTTCGTGGTGTAGACTGGTTATGGGTGGGAGAAGGTCTTGTCGGCAAGGAGGAGGGTTGTCCCTCCTGCATGCAAGCAAAACACTGTCTTCCTCGCAAACCCTAATGCAACCACCAAAACCCTAAAAATTGCCTATCTCAAGAGCCCTTCCCCATTGACCCGTAAAAATACTAATTATCAACTTAAGACTAATCATAAGTAGGTAAACATTCAGAAAAAAAGGTTTTAAAGACAAGTAATTGACAAGAGTACCTAAATCAATAATTACAACCCAGAAGAAATTCAAGACACATAATCCAGAACCAAGGTTCTAGGGGTTTTAGTTCTTAGTATTATATTCCAAAATGATTATTTATCATATAAACAAAACCATTAAAGAAAGGTGAATCTAAGAGAACCACAACTAAAACCAACTAGAAGATCGACATAAGGAACAAGTCATGAATGAACCTCATCAGAAACTATCAAATTGAGCATCCAATACTAACTATAGTATTAGAACATTTAGCAAATAATATACACCAGCAATATAAAATCATTAACAATAAGCTGGATGATAAAAGATACTGTATTACACTAAGGATAAGCTCAACAAGCTAAGAAATATTATTACTTGGAGTGAGATGTAGAGTGGATAAGCAAAACATCAATGATGTAGTTAACACAACAATATATTATCAAACAACATCAATTATCAACTATAGTAAGTCTAATGCTAGTACAGAATCAAACAGGTAGCTGTCCTGTAACTAAACATTCATCACACACAAGCTTCATAACTATAGGATTGGGAGTTGGACGAGGTATGTGTCTTTTTGGAGCAATTGTATCGGTAGGAGGGAGTTGGCAGAGGTTATGACGACCTGACATGGATTCCATCTTCTCATGGTCGTTTCGAAGTAAGATCTTTGATCTTATGTCTGTCTAATTTTGATAGCCTGGGCTTTTCATGGAAGACCATATGGCGTTCTATGGCTCCAACTAGGGTGGCATTCTTTGTATGGACCGCTGTATGGGGTAAGATACTGACAATTGATAATTTGAGGAAGAGGGGAAATTGCTTTGTTAATTGGTGTTACTTATGCAAGCAAGATGATGAGTTAGTTGATCATATCCTTGTGCATTGCCCTGTGGCGCGCGACTGTTGGAATCTTATTCTTGGGTTGTTTGGCATGCGTTGGGTAATGCCACGTTCTTCTAAGGATTTGATTCATGCTTGGAGAGGATGTCGTGTGAGAAGGGGTGTAATCGATTATTAGAGAATTGTCCGACATTGTGTTTGGTGGTACATCTGGAAGGAGAGAAATTGTAGAATGTTCGAAGGGAAGGAGTCGTCTACGGCGACGCTGAAACTTTATATTATTCGTTCTCTCTTCAATTATGTGAAGAGGAGTTCTTGCTCCTCTTCTGATTATTTAATTATTTTCTTGGATTCTTTGGGGCCTTAGCCTCGATTCCACTATTGTATAAGGGACGTGTTCCCTTATTGAATACCTTTTTATTTATTTCTTACTTATCAAAAAAAAAAAAAAAACTATAGAAAGACAACCATTCAGTCATTCAATAGACTACAAGTAGAGTGAAATCTTAAAACACAGCAACATCAGTAATGAAGGATATCCTATCAAATATAGAAAGTCTAATATTATTGCAGATTACTATTTAAACATTCATAATTTAGTCATTCAGCATTAATGCTTTAAACAAAGCAGGCAACTACTTACACATCTGTTATCATTTAACAATCACAATCATAATGTTATTTAAAGGTTTCACCATTTTTGTAAATTTTACACTGTAGCATGGTATTAATTAATTACAGACTTGAATTAATTTTCTCTAAATGTTCTATTACCATCAGTTACTAACATATTACAATCCTAGATTAACTTAACATCATAATAGATAATGGGGACCATTTGTTTTGCGACTGCTCTTTTGCTAGAGAAGTTTGGGAGAAGAGTTTTCATCTCACAAATGCTGCTGGTCCTCAACATATTAATGTGCTTCAGCTGGTGAAATGGTTCTTAGATTCTGCTTTGAAATCTAAATTCCTGCAATGTCTTATGAAGTTATGCCTACAGTTTTTTGGAGGGAAAGAAATGCTGCTTTGCATGATGGGATTAGAAAACATATGAACCTCAAAACTATGAATGCTGAGTGGGGAAGATATGTAACAAAATGATCTAAAAATGATAGGTTTTTTTGTTACCAACTTCTCAAATATGTTTGATATCTCTCATGCAACATAGGAGTGTGTAGTGCTTTACTGTCTCATTTATTTTGTATATATTACACAGCCTTTGATCATATATATCCTTAAGATGATGGTCCCTGAACACTTATCACTCTCAGCCTTAATTTTATCTTTTTCTTCTTATCATGACATGTATTTAATTTTCTTCCTACAATAATGTTTTTAGTCAAGTCAAATGTGCTTATCACAAAGTAAGAGTTACTTTTTAAACTAAATGTTCAAACTGTACACTAAAGTATCAATCTATATGTTTTTGTGAAGGAGATTTTATTTTATTTTTTTATTTTTTTTACAATAATTCCTAATTTATTTTTACTTTGTTTTTGTGCATACAGCTTGCTTGGTAGATTGCTATTGGTGTTGAAGATATCTATTATTTTCGACATTATTGGTAACGAGCTTTAAGGTTAGAATTTCAATTATTATTATTATTTTGTATAATTGCATGTTGTGAATTCTTTATTATATATCAGATGTAGTTTCAGTATCTATAGATTGCTTCCTCTCGTATACTAATGTTGTGAACTTTAGATTGATTAAAATTTGAGATCACAAACTACATACATGAGATACCATCTTAGAATCTTCTATTAAAATTTGATTAAAGTTTGCATCTCTAACCTTTCAGTTTGTGGCTTCTTTTGTTGTACTTTTCCCATCTTTTAAAGTAATATTTGCATGATATGAAATATATTGTATTTTTTTGCTCATTAGTTGTATTGGTAATATATTTATTTGACTCTTCGATTTGTCTATTCTATATTGTTACAATGCCATATAAACTTCCTTTTTTTTATCCCCTTTGATGATTTCCAAGTTTTATGCGTGAGGCATGTGAATTTCATTTCGCAAATCCTATTTACATGCTATTTTATGCCATATAAAATCTTTATTGTGCTTGAAATCCTATTTTCATAATAATTTGATCTATCCGATTATTTGAATCAATAAATATTTGTCTTAATTGTGTGTCTAATTCCACAACTCAGCTAGTTGATCATTTTCCCTCTATTTGCATGCTTTATGATGAAATGATTTCTTTAATCCAAATGCATGTGTGGTTGAGTTCACATGTCTTTGTGTGCAAGTGCATGCACATGTTTGCATGTCCATTTGTGTTTGTGTGTGTACCAGCATCTGCATACATGATTAGGTGCATGAACTAGGTGGTTTAACATGGAAAGCCTCTTTAATGATTTATTCTCACGAATGGATTTCTTTTGGTCCAACACGTGTTTCAATTTTAATTATCAAGGTGACGGTGAGGTTTGAATCGTCTATTCCTGCTCTGATACCATGTTAACAACTGTCTATGCCTGATACCATGTTAACAACCGTCTACTCTAAAAGCTTAAGCTATTAGAGAGGGTGTAACTTCAACTTTTAAATCCGTCAACGATATCAATTTCATATGTCAAATCCTTCAATGATTTCAATTTCAGATGGCAAGTCTGTATGATTTTTATGTTTTCTTAAGGTTCATTTTTATAAAGCTATTCAATTATAGACATTGCACCTCTAGATTTTAGTTACATCAACTTTATATGGGCAGAACCCCATAAGAGCGTACTCCTTTCATCCTTTGTTGAGTAGCGGATTTGGTTCTTCTGAAACTATTTAAATTTGTCTTCTTTGTGGTGCGTGTGGTGCTACTCCAAATTTAACACCCCTCCTGTCACTACCATTAGAGTTGCTAAGAACCTTATATGAAAAAGAGTTATATGTCACAATGCAAAGTAAGAATCAGACTAGAATATCACTATTGCCCAAACAATGACTGAAGAGGGGGTGGATTGAGTCTTTAGGCAAACTATAGGAAATTTACCAATTAAAAGTTTCATGTTCAACTATAAACCAATTGAGAGATTTATGCAAAAACTTGAGAATAAATACTCTCTAGTATAATCTAATTAATACAAAAAGACTGTGAAATTTAGATTATCAAGTTTGAACACAATGCCTTGGTGAGTAGAGATATACAAGTTAGAACACAATGCCTTAGTGAGTAGTTATATACAAGTTTTGCTAAAATTCCTTTAATCAATAACTTAGTGTTCTAATATATTTAGCTAAGCTAAAATTGCGTTTATTAACCTCTTAATGACAAAATATATTTGACTAATGAAAAAGCACATGCAAATGCAACATTTAAAGGGCATAAGGTTAAGACAATGCAGATTATCCATATAATTGTACTGAATGTTTTTTTATATTAATGGAAATCACCACATTTACCACACAAAAATAAATAAATAAATAAATAAATGTCAATCATAACACAAATGCAGAATCACCAATACCTAGTAACAATAAACGACCTCTCTAATGTACAAAGTGTTCATAAAGTACCAATTCCAAAGTTAACTTGGGTAGAGTTAGTAAAGAAAGGTATGATAACATGTGAATTGACTGAGACTATGGCCTTAAATAGAGCGGAATGGAAACATGGAATTCATGTAGCCAACCCCAAATAATTGGGAAAAGGCTCTGTGGTTGTTGTTGTTGATCATAAGCTACCAATTAACAAGTCATGATATAATATATACTACATAAAATGGAATACATTTAGCACTAAATGAATCTAGCAACTAAGCATTGGTCTTTGATTTAACTTCTCTTTCTATTCACAATAAATAACTTAGCTTGTCACTAAGTCATGTTCATGTAATCTTATGCAAAGACAATAATAAAATATTAAAAGCCTAAGTATATGATACCAAATGGTAAAAGGCTAAAATCCATGATATGTAATAATGTAAATTCACATTACATAGTTTGATGAACCAATTCACAGTCTAAATGTGAATTAATACATGGTCCAAGTCCAAACGTTTGTAGAATCCTAGATTAATCTTTTTCCTTTAAAGGAATAATTAATTAATCTCCTTCTAGAGTCTAGTCCTATCTTTTTAAATCTTAGTAGTGAAGATTTGAATAAAAATTTATATGGTGAAGAATTTAACTCTCTGGAGTCAAAATCTGATTTTGAAATTATTACTAGAGTAGACGCCTAGTGGATAGAATTCCAGAAACCTGCTCTCAGTGTCTTGCAATTTGCTGAAGAGGCAGACATCTTAAGCCATTTTAAAATTCCAATTTTTAGCCTATGTTCCTTACTAATTCTCCTAAAATTAAACCCAATCAACAGCACACACATGTAATCATCAAAATTCACACAAAAACACCTAAAAGCAAACAATCACACAACCAATTGATTAACTAAGATCATCAATCCTGGTAATTCCTAAACTCTCCTAATTGATGCCAATTGTTATTCTAGACTTAAACTTTGATCAATAATGAGCACACAAGTACAAAGATCATAACATAATTATGTGTAAGTACAATTAATTACACATTAATCAAAACAAGATATATTACTTTACAAACATTCATGTATTTGTAATTATCAATCAAAGTTACGTAAGTCTAATTAAAGTACACATTTACACATAAGACTACTTGATTTGCGCCACACATCTTAGTCACACCTAATTCTCCTCTAAATGGAACCTAATATTAGCTAGTCTAAGAAACAAGTGAGTATAGCTAGTTCTACTCGTACTCTAACTATCTACTTTGCATCTAGCAAAATTAAAACAGGTATACCTAGGTATTGGTAAGTATGATATCATCAATCTAATCGAGTGAAGGCATGAACAGTGTAAAGTTAAAAAACCAGTCTCAAGAAACAGACCAAAGATTTGAAAACAGTTACAGAAAACATAGCAAAGTTAAAAAAACCTGTTGCAACTAACAGAGTCTCAAACCAGTCAGTCAGTTACATTTGGTAGGACAATTCACTTTTCCTTTCTATCCAAATCATTTATTATTCATATAATTTTAATTACATTAGTTTTAACCTCCAATAAGTCCCGGAATGAATGGTATTCCAGTTGAAGGTAACCAATCACCTGCTTTGATGAAGTTTTTAGCAGTAAATTGTAGGATTTGGGTAGAGTTGGTTATAATTTGAAAACCTGGCCATTTTACCCGGCCACTGGTTGCTGCTCCCGGACCCCTGTTGTTGTATTCAATATAGGACAAATGATCCAATCTGGAGCTGTTATCCCACGGTGACCAGCCGGCAGGTTTTACGATATCCCCTAGGAAAGACTCCATCACCACCGTTCTTGCATACTCTCTCCATGGGCGTCCAAGGAATGCTCTGGAAGATATCGATGGTCCAAAATCTGGTGCCGCTGTAATGGTACAATTCTGAATTACTATTCCAGTGGCTGCCATCGCTTTCTCCCGCGAATCAGCTGTTACAACAATTGGCTTTCCTTTATTGCCGGGATTTCTTGCATACATGTTGCAGTTCTGAAACATGATGGCTGCGTCACCAAATATGAAGTCTACGGTTCCATATATGTTGCATTCATAGAAAAATTTTCTGCCAGATTTCATATACAAGGTGTCCTGGTATCCTTCGAAGGAACACCTGTAGTATGCATCATTGAAGCCTCCGCTGAAAATAGCAACTGCTTGTCTGGCATTGACTCCGGCAGAATTCACAAAGCTGATGTATTTTGCTACAAAATGTTCTGCTTTTATATCTGCGTGTAAACAATAAACACAGTGTCAGATGACTTTTGATTCTACAGTACACTGAGTCTAATAAGTAAGTGAAACATTATATCAATTAATCACATTTCTTTTAGATCAAATGTAAGGTAGCTAAACATCTCTGTTGTCTTTGCTAAATGTTTCCCTCCTCAACAAATTTGCCCTATGTCACTCAGTATCAGCACCCAGATAAAGCTATTGTCATATTGAAAATCATAGAGAGCCTCCTGCTAGCTCGGATTATTCTCTTACCCTAATTACAACTTAAAATTTAAAGAAGTCCATTATATATACTTATTAGAATTTCAACGAGTAATCCAAAATCGCGTGAGACATCTCTTCCCCTACTGGGCTTTGTATTTTGTTATGTTGGACATAGTATTTTTTTTGTGGTGTGTAGCTGTAAGTTTTTGCTTTTGCCCTAGGCAACAATTTATTTTAATGCTTTTTGGATGAATACTAGCTGCAAATACATGGGAGAAAGTATGAAAAAACAGCTTAATCAAGCACCTCACCTTACAGATTCTATTTGTCATACACAAACTATGGTTGGTCTACTTCTTTGTGAATAAATTGTTGCTTTAGTGGTAGCTATTGTGACAGTCTTCTGGCAAAATTAAGACATGGACCACGAATATAATTCTGATTATTCATAGATTGTTTTCATCAGGGAATAATTATCTAAATGGGATAAAATAAGAAGCAATATATATATATATATATATATATATATATATATATATATATGAATAAAGAGTAGATACTAAAACATGAACTTAACATTTGAAAAGCAACATTTAAATTGAAATTTGTATGTAAATTTCTCTTAAGGACAACTTATTTACTTGGAAGACTGATGGTCACTAGTATCTTTTAATTACCCTCAGAAATATTTTAAGATCTAGAAACCATTATGTTTTTTGGATCATTCCTAAAAAAAATTAATCCAACCCGCATTTAGTAGTAACAAAACTGATACCATATTCCTCTGTTACTTCCTCACATTCTTTACCTACACTTTGAATTAGAAAATGAAGCACTGATGGCCATTTAACGGAGAGGATAAAAGTTATATGTAACAACCTATGTCTTGAGCAATTTATTACAAGTACTGGTAGCCAATCAATGGAGAGGGTAGAAGCTACATGTAAGGTCTTAAAATGACGATGTAAAAAGAGGGATGGGATGATTTGGTAACTTACCGACAGTGGCCGATTCGGATGTCCTGTAACCTGAGGAATTGCTTTTGCTGAATTGTATTATTGTTTGGCCAATTCCATCTCCCAAGAACACGACACTTTTCTTCTCCTTACCCACATGTACTTCTTCATTGTAAATTCCTCGCTTGATGTAAATGGTGTATGTGATTGAACTCGAATTGGGTATTGCAGAAACAGCTCCTGAGATGGTGCTATAGTTCCCACTCCCATCCTTTGACACCACAATTGTGGTGTTATCACTTGAAGCAAAAATTGGAATGGCAAGAAACCAAAAGAAACAAATTAAACTTAGAGCCATTTTGAAGATTTATAAAGCTTGATGAAAGTATGCACCACCAGCAATAGAGTTTGATTGAGCAAATGGAGGATCAAGGAGAGGAGTGTTCGTGTTTCGCTCTACTGATCTCTACAGTTACTTGTGCGTCACTCTGTGTGATTTTTTTTTTTTTCCAATCAAACTCTAGGATCAAGGAGGAGTGTTTGTCTTTTGCTCTACTGATCTCTACAGCCTACATGTGTGTAACGACCTGAAATTAGGGGCAATCACAAAACATGATTAGGAAAAACCATCCAAATAAAACCAGACCATTACCTCAACCCAAATAACCACAAACCAAATCCCACTGCGCTACTCCCATAATTATCAACTTAAACACATCACAATCATCTACAAAACAAAATCTGCGCTGCAATTAGTTAAAAATTCGTAGAAAGTTCATTTTAAATCGAAACAGAGCAAACAAAAATGACTTAGAAACTAGACTCAAAGGGTAATGTGAAACTGAAATTCCCAGCAACATAAGCTTTGCCAATAAAATCAGTGTTTAGAAGGTAAATAGCAGTCAAAGAATGAGCTGAAAATAAAGGCCTTGCTTGGATTGCATTTCAGAGAACAGTTCTCAAGAACAGTTCTCAAAAATAGTTTTCAGAGAACAGCTTTCAGTTTTTCAGATTTCAAACCTGCTTGATTAAGAGAATTTACAAAACAGTTTCTGGAAAACAAAAACTCATAAAACTACTTGGTTGTATGAATTTTTGAAAATAGTTTGTAATATTAATCCAGTTAACATAACGCATAAAAATGATTTGAATTCTTTCAGTTCTACAAACCTGTCTTAGGTAAAAACACAGCAGAAACTAGGTGTTATCCCAAATTTTATTCAATCTAAGATTTTGGGTAACAATTTAATTGATAGCTAGTGATTATTTCTATTTGAATCTATGTATGGAATTTGTAGTACTCTCTCAATATGAAACATCTCATTCATAGCATCCAAGGATGAAGCATGATCATGGAGACAAGATTGGACACGATAAGCTACAAATAAAGTGATATAATTTTTATTTTTTATTTTTGAAAAATAGGATACACATACAGTTTACAACAAGGAACATGGAAATATATGTGTATAATTGTGTGTGTGTTGGATTAATACAGATATGTACACTACAAAATATATATCTATATAGGTATAAATTAAAAAGGAAAGTACTTTTTATGATATACATATTACTACCATTTTCTTTTTAGAATAAATTAAAAAGAAAAACACTAGTTTTGCAAAGAAGATTAAGCCTTTACATAGTTATGTCATTGATAAGTGATCACAATAAAAGCAACATCCTAGGTTGTAGTTTAGAATTTTTGTTTTGATATACTTTATGAAAAACATGAAGAAACACTTCGCTGTGCATTTTATAATTTTGTAAACATTGATAACTTTCAATATGTTTGCAATTTATTTATTTATTTTCAAATCGCATCCTTTAAGCACTACCTCAGCATTCAATTGGTTATGATTAGATAAAAATAATCTGCTAATATACGAAAGTTTTCCTTCTGTGCATAATTGTTTATCTTCAAGCAACTTTTCAGTGAAAAAATGTTCAAGTATGTTTGAGACCTGCCTAAATTTTGTTTCTTCTAGAGAATGCCAGGTCGGAGGAGTAGAAAAGCCATTACTGTCCTCTCTACCCCTGCCTTCTGGGACACACATTAATGGGGTTGGACTCTTGGATATTGTATTTACTGTATTCTATCTAGGATAATATCATGTGAAACTTTCTGAGCTAACTAAGCCTGATTAATATCTAATGTTACAGTTATATCTAGTACCCTTTATGAAGTGTGTATTATCAATGACTTTAAATCCAAACGCATGGTCAAGGCACAATTTGCCACAAGTACCCTTTGGGATTTTTGTTGTTTTCTTCCACTAATTCATTTTTCATCTGAAGTTTTTCTTTCTTGTCATATTCTTCTTAACATTTTGGACAGATGGTTAACTAATAATTTAACTTACTCCAACCTCTGGCCTTGGGATTCAGCTCTTCCAACTCAATATGAGTAAAATTTTCCATAACTTTGAGATTTGCACAAGTCACACCTCTGGATTCCCATTGACTAGTGAGCCCGAGATTTGTGTAATTCATTATTCAAATTCTTCTGTTCAATTTTATGAGAATTTATTTGATTTTTTATTTTCTTGTTTTTTGAAAATTTCATCTACTGCAAGACTTGATATACTGTTGCATGCGAATAGGTCTTGAGCAGTTATTTTTAAATGGAGGGTAATTTATTTAGATTTTGCTCTTACTGATCGTTGGTACTTGTTTTTGTTTTTAGCTCTCCTCAAGCGCATGAGCAGTTGGTGTTTTGATGAGAAACTTTTCTTACAGTCACTTTACAAGGTATTATGGCCATGAATGGGTTGGTTGCTTTAAAACGTATAAAACTATTACTTATTCATAGCCATGTTTGTATGATTTCTTCACTCGATTAGGTTCATTATGCAGCATTAGCTATCTGGGAATGTACTGACTGGCATGGTTTGTTATTTCACTTGCAGGTTTTGGTTTCAGTCTCTGAAAGCAGTTCCATCATTCTTTACCTCGTTTCATACAAAATTTGCACAATGCTGTATTTAAAATCTCATTAATTTAAGCCCATTAACATTTGGTTGGATAGAGAAAGAGAAGTCCAACATTCGGATGGATACAGCCTATTAGATATAAGGATAGATCAGGGAATAGGAGAAATTTTGGACTTATTTTGTAATATTTGTTAAATTGGGCTTTTAAATTCTGTAAATTTTGATTGCACTAAAGAAGATGTACCAACACTTTCTACAAAGAAAAAGAAGGTTCAGTATTCTAAAGACTACAAATCCCTAAACCCTAAACTGATCGAAAACCCAAATCCCTAAACTAAAAATCAAATTCACGACAAAAATCACCCAACCAACAAAATCCATAATCAAATCTACAACCAAACTCATCCAAAAAACAAAATCCATAACCAAAAACTTGCTACAGAAAAATACAGATTTGTGTTTACCTGAACAGATGGAGCTTGAAAGTTCTGGTTTCAATTGGAATTGGAGTTTGGTTAATAACAATGGGCTGGTCTCATCGGATTTCAAGATTGATGTTTGAGCAGGCCTTTGAATTACTCTGTTGCTGAAGTTTTTTCTCTGATATTTTCAATGCTGTGATGTTTCTGGTTTGAGGGAGATTGTTGCAGAGATGCAAGCTTTAATGGACTTTAAGATCAAAAATTTTTAGGGCAGGATTTTTTAGTTCTGGTTTATTTTGTTTTTGTTTCTTCTGGTTCACTCTAGTCTAGCTTGGATTTCCTTTGCTGGTTTGAAAATGGACATAGTCCATTACTTGCTTTGTACTGGAGGATGTCCTCCATTTTAGTAATTGTACTATTCTGATTTATATATAAAACAAAAATCCCATTCAGGAAAAAAAAGAAAAGAAAAGAAATTCAGCAACAAGAAGAAACTTAGATATATTTGTGATGGAGGATGACGAATTGAAACAAAATTAAATCAACAAGGAACCAAATGTACAGCACATGACATTAAGGGAATTAAGGCTTAAAATTATTCAAGAAATAGTTAAACAAATAACCTATTTCTCTAATTGAATCAAGCTAAGTGTCAATTGAGTGGGACCCATATCTAATTACAGTATAAATTAAAGATTCTGCTTCAGAACGACGATAAGTGCACAGAGTGCATGTCGAAAATTCACTGTTTGCTATGCCCCTTGATTCAGCTGTAACAATAATGGGCAATCCTTCATTCTCTGGATTTCTCCCGTATATGTTGCAATTCTGGAACATGATGCCTGCGTCACCAAAGATGAAGTCTAGGGTTCCAAAGATGTTGCATTTGTAGAAAAATTTCCTGCCGGAAATCATAAGCAAAGTGTCCTGGTATCCTTTGAAACTACACCTATAGAATGCATGATTTAAGCCTACACTTCTCACAGCAACTGCCTGTCCGGCATTGACTCCGGCGGAATTCACAAAGCTGATGTCTTTTGCAACAAAATGTTGTGCTTCTATATCTGCATGTACACAATATACACACACGTCATGCTTCTATATTTGCATGTACACAATATACACGCGTCATTAGGTGCTTCATAAGCCTTAGTTATGGGGTTGGGTCTTCACTGGGTGTTCTTAATAGCTAACCTCCGCTTGTTAAGGGCGCTCTAAGCGTTCATGCATTCCCGGATACTAGGGTTACCCAAAAAAAACAAATTGTGTAATATGTGTTCTTATCAGTTTAGTTTCTGATTCGTGGGTCAATGACACACACATTTAAATATAATTACCGAAAAAATAATAAAAGAAAAAGAGATTAGGATGGTGATCACAGACTGACTGTGGCCGATTCGTCTGTCTCAAAACTAGTGGAAGTACTCTTATTGAACTATATTATGGTGTGGTCAATTCCGTCTCCCAAGAACACGACACTGTTCTTATACATACCCACATCTGCTGCTTCGTTGTAAATTCCTCGCTTGATGTGAATGATGTATGTAGCCGAAGCTGAATTAGGTATTGCAGAAACGGCTTTTGAGATGCTGCGATAGTCTCCACTCCCATCCTTTGACACCACAAATGTGGTTTTATAACCTGAAATGGAAATGGGAATGACAAGAAACAAAATGAAACAGAGTAAACCATGGGCCATGTTGGTGGTGAAAGGCGGTGGCGACAGTGACGGAGTGGTGGAAGGCAACAACAGAGTTGGGAGTGATGGAAGGGAGCGATGGTATAGAAGGTGGTGGAAGTGAAGTGATGGTTTACTGCTTTAAAACAAATAAGAAAGAAATTTACTGCTTTAAAATATATATATGTAATTTCCATATTACTGCTCTGATTTTATTCCTTATTTGTTTTCTTTTTTCTTTTTTTTTTTTAATTTTTTTTATATTTATAGTTAAAGGAATTTGTTGCAAATAGTCAATAATTTAGAGGTTTTTTTTTGAACACTTTATCCAAAAGTGGTAATGCACGTGTCACAGTTAAATAGTTTTGACTCATGTGGCCCACTATTTGCTAGTCATAGGATTGAGAATAGGGTGATACAGCTAGCAAAGTGAGCACAAACAAAGATAAAGAGTCAGGACTTATAGGAGGGAAGAAGAATGAATAGACTAACAACTTATTTGGTCGCACTAAACTGAAAGAGACTTTTAACCCCCTACGTTTCACTCTAATATATGTTTCGCTACATGCCAAGCCACTTCGTAAATCTATATTTGGACGTGGACCACATGGTGTTCAATTTTTATGCAAACAAATTGATGTATGTCCATTATGTTTTGGAGGCCACCAATAAAAACTTGATTTTTTTTTTTTCTCGATAAATAATTATGATGGTTGTTAATAAATTGAATTAATTTTATCGATACTTTTTAAGTTTGGTCAATTATCACATTAAAATTTTTTTTGAAAATTATTATCACTCACATTACAATTTAAGTTTGGTCAATTATCACATTGAAATTTTTTTTGAAAATTATTATCACTCACATTTTAAATTTTTGGTGTGTTTTTCACTCACATTCTAAAAATTAATTTTCAGTTGTATAAAACTACTTTTTACTTATAAAAAGATATTATTATCCCATTTAACTTTGACTTGTCTTACTAAAAGGTTGGTTGATGTTTAAGAAGACATTTCTACGTACATTCAATACAAGTATGAGAACAGGACAATTGGAAGCAAATGTGTACTTAAAGGGCCAATCAAATCTTGACATAATAATAATAATAACAGCTGAAAGAATTTCTCAATTTTCTATAGCAATTGTGCGCGAGTTTCATCTCTAATAAAGAACTACTAACTGATAATGGAGGGAACGTCCCCATTATTTCACAAGGAATAGTCAAAACATTTTTGAAATAAAATTCCCCAACCCAGAGGATTGGAATACAACTGCATTCAATACAAGTATTTGTCATTTGATAAAAATGTATTCAATATAAGAATTTGACAATTGATTTCTGTGACTAAATAAATAAAAACATTTTGAATTTTCATTGTCTTTAGGTTTCGAGCCACTGCTCTCAGAATACAGATGACATTGATACAACATCTTCAAACACATAATCTTTAATGAATCCAAGATGAATTAATAAGGCTGAGTATAAATGATTCTGCTCCATTGACAAATATAATCTACGTTGTACTGACAAGAGGATAGAATTTTTGTCATCTTTACCGGTAGGCCTGGATCAGTTGAATTTAGTAGAAACGTATCATCCAGAGAGAAATCTGATGCCGTTTATAGACATTTGCCGGGGAAGAGATCAAGAAAGGCATCTGCCGTATAGAGATGTATTGATGTCTTTCCTCTATAGATAAAATTTCAAGACTAAGCTCCTACTCTTGAGGTTTCACCAGTTTTTGAGGATCGTTGAGATATCATCATGGAAGATGTTATAAGAGTAGGAGCTTAGTCTTGAAATTTTATCTATATGAGGGACTACTTTATGTATCATTCAATTATATCCTTATCATCCAACTATCTCCTTATCAAGAAAGGCTACATAACAGCATCAGTCCATCACAAACTGTCTATTTTAAGAACCAATTCCTGGTACCCCCATTGACATCAAAGGTCATTATCTAAATGAATCCAAGATGAATTAAAAAGGCTGAGTATAAATGATTCTGCTCCATTAATAAGGCTGAGTATACACCATATTGTGTTCCTTTTTCTTTTGGATTAATGGACGAATTTGTAAATCTTCTGAGGAATTTGTTGATTTTGTAGATAGCTTGAGAGGATAATTGGCCCTCTTGGCCTTATCTATTCCTCCTTGGGAGCGCTCCCCTCTTGAGTCCCTTAATGAAACATTACTTCTTATATATGTGTGTGTGTGTGTGTATATATATATCACAAAACTAGTGCTATGACATCGTCCTTTGAAGAGTTTTATATACTAAGGTTTCCCAAGCGCACACATACCGAAAAAATTAAAGAAAGAAAAAATTTATCTAATTTACGCTTAAAATGACATACATAATATGATTACAACTAGTTAGTGTGGTAATATCACGAAACTAGGTTGTGCAATCATCCCTTCAAAATTTCAGTCTTTTAATGATTTTCCAGTGACACGAGAGAAAAAATGTAATCCAAGTTAACCTAGAAATGACAATATAATATCGTGACTCCCTATTCAACCATGGATCCCCCTTGCAGTTAGTTTATCATATGGAGAACGTTAATATATATATATATATATATATAAACTTTGACGAAACAGGATTGATGTAACTGATTCCATATAGTTGGGAAACTATTTCATTGAGTCGAGCCTATCAACTGGCAAAGTCACTTTTAGCTGACAATAACATGTGATGACTAATTCTAGCTATGTGAAAACACTAAATTAAAAGATGGGAGAAAATGAGAACATTCACAGCTACTAATTCTGATTGAATTACTATCACAATTTCGGAAGTACCTTAAAGCATTAAAGACATGGAAACTAAAATTATTGCTTACACAAACAATTTTTTCATCAACGGAACTTAGTTGCCAAAAGATATCCAAAACTGGCACAAATACAAGTGAACAGCAAACAATGCACACAATAGTACCTAAGATGACCAGTAACCAAAACTTAACCAAGAAAAAAAAAAAAAAAAAAAGAAAAAAAAAAAAAAAACAGACCAGTAATCAAACAATTGAGGCAAAAAAAATTCATTAAACTATATGAATTCTTCACACTTGTAATGTTTGATAGTGTCTGCTGTACTATACTAAGGTAAGTTGTGAATGCATACATTTCTGCAAGCAGAAAGCTTTGTTGCTTTGTTCATAGCATTATGAGATCTCTTCCCAAACATAATTGAACTGAACAGAGGTGGTTTCTTCCTAGGTGTTGGGGGCAAAACTGGGTGATCAAATGGACTAATATCAACAACTAGGCAGGTTGTATCATCCTTCAGGCCTCTTGACCTGAGAGCTTCCTAAACAGTCAAACAAACAAGAATTAAAAACTACAAAAGTCAGATCCTCAAGCTGGTTAAGAAGAGAGCTTGTTACTAGATTATGCAGTCAATGCACCAGGTGTACTCGATCTCTTTCCTTCCATGGCACCATTCTTGAAAGAAAATTTTAATTTAAGGGTATTTTCATATTTAGCCGAAAGTTTTGAGGTACAAATTAAATATTATCCAGAATAGAAGGGTTTATAAGCAATCTGGGGATACTACATCAGATCTATCCCTGGGATACCCAACACTTGCTCGTTATAAATTAGCTCTTACATTAAAAAATTAAAGTAAAATAAATGTTATATTTTCATAATTATCATTTTTTCAAAAATCTCCAACTGAGTAATGAGTATATTTAAACTTAAAAGAATAATTTAATAATTTTAAAACCTACACACTATTAATTGTATGTATGTGCCTGTAAATGTTTTAAAATTATTAAATTATTCTTTTATGTTTAAATATACTCATTACTCAGTTGCAAGATTTTTGTAGAAATGATAATTAAGAAAATATAACATTTATTTTACTTTAATTTTTTAAATGTAAGAACTAATTTATAACATTTCAAAAAGGAAAGACTAATCCGAAAACTAATATGGAAAGGTAGGGCTATATTATTATTATAACATTATAATATGGTAGTCCACACCATATTTAGTATAACTTTTTAAGAAAATATATAATTAATATGGAAAGGTAGGGCTGTCCACACCATATCTTTTATTATTATAACTTTTTTTAAA